CCCCAAAACCCCAAAACCCCAAAACCCCAAAACCCCAAAACCCCTACTTCTCGGTGAAAAATTGAAGCAATACACTAACAAATTGAGGATTTTAATATAAAAATCACTTAATCATCAAGGAGTTTTCACTTGATTGCTTCCCATAGTTGGAAACACTCAGAGCTATGTTCTGAGACTTCATACTCAATAGCATACTCCTTGCTCTTGGGAGGCTTATTCAGCTTTCCAAGCACTTTGGTCATGCCTGCTAAGTTTGAGCATACCAGGATGGTTTTCTTTCCCTAAAATTTAGTGATAAAGCTTACCGATCTCTTAAATTTTCAGTATTTGGACAATTGTGGTTTTAAAACTTGGAGAATTGCATCAATAATGACTAAATAATCAAATGAATGATTTACTTTTGAACCCTTCCCAGCCACTATCGAAGAGTTTCTCCCAGAGCATCTCAGAGTATTCAAGCGGAACAGCATGTGACATTAAACTTAAGGCCCATGTTGCAGCAAAGGAGTCTATAAATGATTGTTCTTGAATGTATTCTTACCCATAGGTGTTTTGCCTAAAAGTTTGAATAAACACACTTACTCTTTTTGAGCTTCAACTCAAGAATTGTGTCTAAAATTTAACACAAAAATACCATTCGCCATCTTGAGAATCTGATCGATATTCGAGTAGTAATAACCAAGCTGTAGATTCTCTGAAAGATTTCAGAACAGCCAGAATGCCATTGGCTCATTTCAGTGAAGTCACAAGGATGCTACAATAAAGTTTAACCCTTGTATATATTCCATCTCAGGGTATTTTTGATGAATTGCCAAAATTACATTGAGAAATTTTGCTAGAATATTCGTGTGTTTGAATAAACTACAGGATTAGAGTATGATTACTTATAGCTGCAGAAGGTTCTTGAGATATCTCTCATAAAATCTTTAAGAAATTTGTCATTGGCTTCATAATTAACTGCAGAATGCACTAAATTATTACTCAGCCGTCAAACCTTTTCCAAAGGCAAATACTTTGCAAGTCTCATACTGTTCTGATACCTTGGATTTAGATAAAATTTACCTTTTTATAGTCAAAAAATTCATCGAAATCACTTTCTGAGAGAGAGCTTAAACTGCTATCCTCATTCTCTATAACTTTAAGAACCCATTCTTCAGAATTTTCACAACCATATCCATGGTCTCCTGGTGTTCAGTGACAAATAGATGGAGGCAATTGACTTGTATCTCATCTTGACAATACTTTCAGAAGTTTTGCTCTGTCTATAACAACATTAAGGGAAGAATTTTCTAAAGTACCTTTAGAAGAAGACCCAGAGAGGCCTAAATCACTCAAAAGACGACCATATCATTCTCTAGTAATTCGAGTTATCTTTGCTTCTGGGAACTTTGGCAGCTGGTTTATCGTATCGACCTTATCCTTATGAGAACTTGTAGCGATAATACTAACTTTTTGAACAATTTTTCTCCCAAACACTAAATTATGCCTCGATGAATCTGTATTCTTCCTCTTGATAGGGGATGATGAGTCACTAGTATTGTACAATTGACTAAACATCTCATAAATATATTACTTTAATCTAGTTGACTGAAGAGTTTCTGAGAATTTCTTCTCCATCAAGTTTTGGCTTAACGGATTGTTTCTAGAAATAGGAACAGAGCTTACAACTGGAGAGTTTCAGGAAAGTTCTTAAAAGCAGGTTCAACATCTTCACAATTGCTTTCTTCACTATCTGAGTTATGATCTTCCATTGTTTCCTTAATAGCAAAAGATTTATTTTTATGAGGTTCTAAATCTTATAGACATTTTTATTTAAATCCTACCTCATAATTTAGTTTCCTCATCTTTTCTAACCTTAAGATTCTGCTCATAAAGAGAAGAGAAGGAAGAAATTACAGCATTATTTAAAGATTTATTAGATTTTGAAGTATGGAGCCTAAACGGTAATCTCCCAGTCCTATAATCCTTGCTCTTGAACACCTTGCACCCGATATTCTGTGGTGTTATTACACCAATATTTTCGTCCATATCATCGACATAATTAGAGTCATCTCCTTTAGCATTTTCTCTGCTGGCATCTCGCGAACTCAGTCGGATCTAAACGCATTAATTTTCAGCGAAAAATTACACATACCTGTATTTTGTTCCTTGGCATCTTCATGATCTGCTTAAACAGCTTGCCAGAATGACTCTTCTGAACTTTGCTACTGGCTGATATCTTTTTCCGCCTCAAACGTAGTTGCTCAATCATTCCTAGAAAGTTAGCCGAGGAATACCCTTCAGTTATCTTTATTTATAAATAATTCAAAACTTTTGATAACTAAAGGGGTTTTGGGGTTTTGGGGTTTTGGGG